CACTAGCCCAAAACTCGTGCCTATGATCGTCTGATTTGATGAGGTTGTATCCATGGGCCCCAAAGATAAAGCTTTTACTTTCAGGTCTGTTGGCAGGTAAGTTGGACTGGCCAGTTACTGGTTGAGCCATGCGGTTTGTGTTGAGCTGGTTTGCAACTCTTTGAGGGCCGGGACACACATTTTGGTTTCCCTTCAAGAGCAACCAAAAAGAGGTTGCCCAAAAAACGACGTACTCCCCTGCAGATTCACGTGATTCACGTGACATGGAACCCAACAAGACATGAACTGTTTTTGCAGGAATCTCCTTTTGGGGGGCCCTTTTTGGTCCATGTTAGTTTGCAAGGGGGTATCCTAGCGAAACCTACGATTTGGCCTTGTGTCTTGGGGAACTCAGGTCGAGCAGATCAGCTTGCGCAGCGACGGTACAAAGGCCGAGCAACTTGCTGGTTCAGAAGGGCCTAAGATCCCGGATCCCCTTAGCCCCCCGGAACCCTTCGATCAGGAGATTACCTGAATGCCTTTCCTGGGGGTTCGGCCTTCGATTTCCTAGGGATAGTTTGCAAGACCTGGTTGGCCCAACGGCATGTGGGATGTGGCGCTGCGTCAAAGCTGGAAGGACGCTAAACAGGGTTCCAGCTTGCATCAAAGGACAACTACTAGAACCCATTTGTCAGAACCCATTTAGGGTCGCCCAGTCTTGGGCCATCAAAAGGAAGCCAAAAGGGGATGAGCGGTAAGCTTCCCGTGCCCATACAGGGTCCGGAGACTGCCTTCCTTCCATCCCCGGCTCATGGCCTTGACGTGCAGTGGCCCTGATTCGCCGCTGAACAGCCAGGACCACGGCTGTGTCTTTGCTGTAGTTGGCAATATGAGGGGCTGAACAAATTATTTACCTGTGGTCATCACTGCAACCTGCGGGGTTTGCGACCAAACTCCAATGAAGGTTTCGTTTCTGGCTATCCATCTCAGGTTGGCGAGCTATAAGGACGTCTCTCTTTTTGCTAGCCATGGAATGCATGGAAGGATGCTTGAGTACGTAGCCTTGTGGGGCTAGAATGCCAGGCATTGGCTCCGCGCTGCCAGCTGGACTTTGTCTTGGCATCCAAAAGCCGCTGCTGCGGGCTGAGCATCCCTTCGCGGTCTCGACTGAACAACCAACCCCGCTTGGCGAACAATAGAAGTTGTTCAATCAATGTGTGTTTAAGTATATTTCCACAGGGGGTTGGGCCAACGCTGCGCAGACCCCCGTCGCTTCTCTTCCGAAAGGGGTGCGGGATGGTGCGGGCATTTCAATGCTTGTTGGTACGGTTCCTCCACGGATTACGCATCTCAAAATGGTTAAGCAGCTAGGGAGCGTACGAAATGCGGACCCGACCCACTTGTCGGTTGAGAGGGGGCAGGACTTTGCTGATGGGTCGCGCAAGAATGTGGCGCGTTTTACGTGACTTGTTGTTGGGATCATGGAAGGATTGTGTAAACAGCCCAGAGGATTTAGGTGCTGGTTTCCAGCGACAAGTCACCCGTCTGTTCCAAGCGGCAAGCTCGAGCAACCCCAAGCGGCAAACGACATGAAAGGGAGAACCTGTTTTACCCATGGGCTATGCGGCTATGCTATGCGAGTCACGGTCAACACATGCGTAGATCGCTTTAGTAAAGCGGGGGTTGGCGGCATAAGTTTGCAGAAAGCCTCACAAAGCGATAGGGGTGTTGTTTGCTCGGACAACCGACCTGTGCCAAGGCAGTATTCGCCTGGTGACGACCCTGCGGGCAGGTGTGGTGCATGCGCGTTCGGAGATCTTCCATGCAAATCGAATTTCAGACGGCGCCTCTCATCTTACAGTTGGTTTCATCCATCCCAACTGGTGGGAGCTGGATTTTGTCCAGTAATCAGGATGTCCACGCCTCTTAGCCCAACTCCCGGGCAAGATTCCCAACATCTTGCCAGTGGGCCAAGCACATCCAACCACAAATCCCTCGGACATTTCAAAAAAGTACAGGGTTGGCAGCTGGTTGCCATGCTGATGGATGCAAACTGAACATTAAAAGTTGGGTGCAAGTTTGCAATTCTGTACTGTACCCCTAACTCCTTGCTTTGCGTGTTTATTGGGCATCCACCGGATTGCACCGTGCGCGCTTTGCAGGAGCTTCTTCTGAGGCGCGTGCAACACGATGCCGAGACGAGAGCCAGCTTGGCACCACTTGCGCAGGGCAATTTTCTCTAATTTGGATGCTTGTTCAAAATAGAAGACCAAAATGGAATAAGCATCGCCCCTTCCCCCTCCCCATTTTGTCAGCTTGCGTTTACCTTTGAACTTCCTTGTTCATTTCCCATTGAATTTAAAGGCAAGCAAGCATGATTCCAAGCTGATTCAGTGTCAGCTGAAGCTGAAGCAAATAAATAGCGGTTTGCGTGAGATGCGTGTTGCAGTGGAACACATTGCACGAACAAGAGAGCATCTATGCTACAATTGCTTCAAATGGTCCATTTACGTTCGTGAACATCGCAAAGAACCTGATGTTGCATCAGGATTGTCCTCGTTTGTTGGCTACACCATGAGAGGTGCAGTCCCCTTGAAAAGAATGGAATTCTGTTTGGGGCAACATCACCCGAAGCAAAATGACAACATCACCGGCAAGATGAGTCATATTTTTTCAGTAGCGACTCTAAAGCCAGCTGCTGGTGCGCCGTCATTTGCTCAGCAGCGGGAAGTTTGCCCGTTGCTGTCAAGCACAAAAAGCAAAACAGGGGGGCATAGCATTGCAGCATGGAAACAACTGGCTTTGCAAGTAGACGCGCATGGGGTCTCCTCCACAACCATTTCACATTGAGGGAAGAAAAAATATGAAACGTACTCCGGACATGTTATGTTTAGAGTACCCCAGATGTTGGCTGCTTTGCCTTTTCACAACATGTGTGCCCTGGTCGGAGCACCGGTTTGTGATAACACGGATGGCCATTGCACCCCTTACAAATCAAGGGGACCCTGAACATGACCCATATGGATGGCCCATATGGGAGTTTCTCGAAATAGGGGTTCCCCTAAATTGCTTTGTTCCTGTTTGGTGTCTCCCGAAATACCAACCAAAAGGGGTCTACTGTGCCGCGTTTTTCTCCAAAGCAGGGCACTTCCAGGTTTTCGGTTCGGCCAGGCTGAGGGCTGGGAGCAGGTGCAGGTGGAGGGCAAGGGCTTGCAGGAGTGGCTTCAAAGCTCCAAGCCACTGCCAGGACGGATTTCAGGGCAACGGCTTGAGCGAGCAACCCGGACCTCCATGGCGACCTTCTCCTTTTGGAGGGGTTTCCCTTTAAACTCATAGAAATGGAGCAGGAGCTCAGGGTTGCTCCCGACACAGAGGTAAGAAATTGGTATTGGGTCCTTTTGTTTTTCCCTTGAGATCAAACATAGGGGAAGAATATGGAACCCATTAAAGGGGAACTATAGGGACATGTATGGAACCCTTTACACTAGGGCTAAAAAGAGAATACACAAAACAAACCCAAGTCACACGAGAACCAAACCAGGTTGCGGCCCAGAAACCCTTGATCCCTCGAATATATTCTGCGTCTTGGACGTCGCTTTTTTGGGTTTCCCTTTGAACATCCAAAAGAGGATCGCTTTCTGAGGCAACTAGCTTCCCTGTGCATCGCTGTTGCTTTACGTTGAATTGTTGCACCCGCAAGTTGGTGCGAGAGCACCCATCTGGGAGCGGGGCTGGGAGCGTGGGTTGTTGCCTTCGATCATCCCATCTGAGCAAAGCGTGAAGTGCAGCCAGTTTTGCCAGGGCCCTTTGCGCCCAACCAATGTTTGGTTGCTGGATTCTCCAGCCAAATACTTGGCTGCTGAACGACACTCCAAGCGATCCTTATATTAGGAAAGGGGTGTCCTTCTGGGTGGTTTCCCAATGCTTGCTCAACACATCTCTTGTATGGTAGATGGCCATAGGAGTCTGGAAGGCGCGCATGGATACTGTGGGTACGTTCTTTGTATCGGGGTGTTCCATCAGGATTGTTCCTCACCCCGCTTGCTCTTGAGATAGCGCGGTGGCCTTGTTGCAAAGTGCACTGGAGAAATGCGGGGAACCTCCCCTCCCCCACTCTTGTGCTTGCCATTTGCCCATAGATGCCCCTTTAGAAACTAGATGGATCCCTGGTTTCACTTTGCCTCCAATCATGTAGGGTGCCTTTTTGCAGGACGAAGCATGAGACCATGGATGGATGCAGCAGCATTGAGTGCATCCGGCCAGATTTGCATGCAGATCTGCCATCTTTGCACTGAGCAGGGTCCTTCTTAGACTACCTTCTTGGACCCCTCCCGCAAAAAGAAAGTGGAAGATGCCTCTTGAAGCTATGCCAAGCTTGTCCCAAAAATGGCAGCAAAAGAAGTGTCGCAGAGTTTTGCAGAACTTCATTTCAGCCTCTGACCGCCAGAACCGCCGTACTTCCTCAACGCCTTGCTTCCAGCTCTACTCGATGTTCTGACAAATTCTCGAGCTTGAAAAATCTGCACACCCGGTGCTGCCAGTTGCTACAGGAAAATCAACCAAAACCACCGCCATTAACTATGTTAAGATTCACGGGCCAACCACTGGTTACCTACAACAGTCTCACTCCCCGTAATTCTGGACTTTCAACTTTTTGGGAAGACCTTTTTGCCGATGAACGACAAGTTTGGACTTTTGGGGCAAATCCGCTCAGGAGGCGGGTAGTGGCCTTCCTGGGAGCCACTATGTAACTGAAACTTGTTTGGAGAGCTTGGAAGTGATGAGCGTGCAGTTAGAGGCCCGGCATTCCTGGCGCCTCATGAAACACTGAATTGACACAAGCCTATACCTGTGGCCGTCGCTTGCTAAGCTTCAGTATTTTGTATTACTATATATATATATGTATATATATATATATATATATGTAAGCACGCGATTTGTTTGTTGAACACGTACCGCTGATGGCGTGTCAACGTAAATTGATGCTTACATGCATCAATGTGACCACCTGCCCGCATTTGAGCTTTGAGGCGAGAGGCAGCTCCCTTCATTTCCTGGCCATGGCGGCTGCTTCTGGCAAGACTCGGCTTCAGCAGCTCTTCCAGTCCTACGATACCTCGGGTGATGGCACCCTCTCGGTGGAGGAGATGGAACAAGTCTTCGAGGCGTTGGGGATCAAGGGCTCCTCGTATATCTTCAAGAAGGCAGACAAAAACAAGGACGGCCCAAAAGAAGCGCAACCTCCCTTTGCCAGCAAAGATTGACGCTTCGATCTACGGGGCAACAAAATCGGGGTCAAATCCGAAAACCCGGTCACAGTTCAAGAGAGAAGCAGAAAGATCAGCAAACCAAAAACGCGACCAGACGGTTTTCAGCAGCTTACTCTTTGATGTGTCATACCCTGCCATGGCCTGAACGGCCAGGACGGCCAGCTGCAGGTGCACGAGTTCATCGCTTGGTTGACCAAGAAGGACCATCGGGGGGAGGGGTTCAGAGAAGGCTCGTCTTCGGGGCCTCAGATCCTCTTATTCCCCAGATAGCTGAAAGCTATGGGGTTCCAACTTTAGAAAAAAAAGGGGGGAAAGGGATTTGCGATCTTGACGTTTTTGGACACGCCATTTGAGGTGGCGCAGGTCCTGTTTTGAGCTGCTGCTTGTGGTGCTGTTTGAGGTGCTGGTGACGGCGCGGGCCCATAAAGGGCATGCGTAATTCCGGGCATTTGGGCTCCATGTCTAGTTGCAGGGGAGAACCTTCATAAGGCTCACAAAGCCTGCAGCCGCCGGGGCTAGGGTAATTCAGAGGGGGTATAGGGGTATAGGGGAATATTTCTCCGCGACAGAAGGACCCAAAGGTCTCTATCGAGGAGAAGGTGAGCGGAGGAGCTGGCAGCATTGAGGCCACCGTGACAAACACGAACACAAAAATGGCAAAGAAGTTCTTTTTCAAGTGCCTTGACCAAAGCAGATCCACGCAATCGATCTTCTAACCTTGACTGCGCTGCAAATTAACATGGAACCCAAAATGAGGTTCTCCAAGCAAAATGTGTTGGGTTCCTGTGAATTTGCATGGGAGTGACCTGTTTGTGTGCCAATTTTGTTCTAACTTTAGTTGAGGTTCTAGAAGGCAATCGCAGTTTTCTTGGTTTGAGCAAGTGAGGTTCACCAAGTGTGAAAACGTCGAGTTCTCGGAGGGCAGAACCGTGAGCATGGTCTTGCAACCCGGCGAACAGAAGACACAGCGCTTGCTAACTGTGACTGGAGAGCCGTGCAACTACGCCTATGAGCTGGCGACCCGCGCAGAATATTCAGGGCTTCCCGACGATCCAGATGCTTTCAAAGACTCCGAGTTCCCCCACGATGTCTCCAGTGTGAAGGGCCAGCAAAAAGAGTTCCCAGTAGACCTGTGGGTCCGTGCCCGGATGCTGGGAGATCCCAATGAGGCGACGCTCTTTGATGAGATTAAGCCCCAGGACATCAAGCAGGGCATGCTTGGCGACTGTTGGCTGATGGCCTCCTTTTGTGCAATGGCCAGCCATCCAAAGTTAGTCAAGAAGTTGTTTGAGTCGAATTTCTTGACGCAGGACGGCAAATACACGGTTTGGCTCTATGATGCTGGACCACACCAATGGGTTTCTTTCGTCCTCGATGAGTTTGTGCCTTGCAGGCTTGTGAACGGCAAGCCCAGGCCCATGTTCGCAAAGCCCATGGGAGAGGAGATTTGGGCGCTCCTGCTGGAGAAGGCGTTCGCAAAGTTCTGCTACAGCTACGGCAAGCTGCAGGGTGGCAATTCATGGTATGCTTTACAAGCAATGACTGGTGCCAAGAACATTGTGGTTTACTACTTTCACAAAGCGACTCAGAGGTGGAAGCCAAAGTACTTGAAGGAAGACTGGGCCAAGGGGCAGTCTGAGAATGCGCGGGGTCACCGCTACAACTACAAGTCCTGGACTTTTGCTCAGGACATTCTGAAGACCAACGAAGATCTTTGGGAGACCCTGAAGAAGTATGGCACGGACAAGTACCTTATGGGCTGCAACTTTTCAGGGGCCAATGCGGAGGCAAAGAAAAAGGGGATTGTTGTTTGGCATGTGTATTCTGTGGTTCACATCATGGAGGAGAGTTGCGATGATGGGCAAGTCGTGCGGCTGATCCAGCTACGAAATCCTTGGGGCCGAAAAGATTGGACAGGCGACTGGGGCGACCGCTCCTCGCAATGGAAGGAGAATCCTTTGCTTCACGAGCGCCTGGCACCACTCATGGAGGGGGGGGGCAATGATGGGAAGTTCTTCATGTGTTGGGAGGATTGGGCCAAGAGCTTCAACGAAGTGACCGTTTGCCCCATCGGCTTTCGGGTGGAGGTGGATGGTGAGCAAGAAGAAGCCCGGGAAGCCGAAGACGAAGAGGAGCAGCATGAGCGGGAATTTCTCGAGTCGGACGATGAGGGCGACTGGGTCGCCTGGTAATCCCGGCTGAAATCCATCTGAATGTGTTTTATTGCTTCACCTTTCAAAACTGCACGGTTCAAATGGTTGCTACCCGCTGGTGTCCTTTTCAGATCACGTTGGTTAGAAATTGATGGGGCTGATTTCAATTTGATTTCAATTTGATTCCAACCATTTACCATTGCTGTCTGTTTCTCCAAGACATCTGTGCTGAAAGCATATGGGTGTCCGACTGCCCAGCTGGCCGAGAGCGGCTTTATCATTGAGACCTCCGAAACTGGAGGGTTCGAATGGTCGAGCAGTTTGGGTTGCCATACAAACTGACATTCAGATTCCGACATCTTATGCGGGTTTATAGAATGGTATCGTAGTAAATTGGAACAATATATTGTTTAGTATTGTTTGGTAGCATTTAGGTGAAGATGAATGAGGGAAACTTGGAATCGAGATTGATAAAACAAAAAGAACAAATGAAAAAATAAATTTAATGAAATGATATAGATATATAATAAATATATAGATAAACAATTTGAATTTGGAAGGAAACAAAAATAATCTTTATAATATTTAGATTGATGTGTAATTAGAATGTTAATTAAGTATATATATATATATATATATGTTAAATTATTATTATTATGAATAATAATAATATAATTGGTTAAACCATTTATTGATTATTTTTATATATACTGGTATTTTATTTATTATTTATTATTATAATTAGGTCATTTTTTTACAAAACAAATGATATTATATTTATATAAATTATTAATAAAAGATACTAATAATTGAGTAACTAGTTTTATTTGCCTTAATGGAAATATATAAGGGGTTGGAATTATTTTTTTGGAAATGTGTATATTTAATTATAGAACGAGTTGGGAACACCCCGAAAACGAGATAGGGCAAACAAGCATGATAACATGGATTAAGATGATATATTGGTATGTGTAGCTTGGTAGAGCGTTTTGGGTTTAAGGTTGTTAGATGTAGTGTAGAGTAGACGATCTGCGTAGCATGGTTTATGGCAATTTACCACAGATTTTCCGGGGCAAGTACTGGCTAACCCTACGATACTTAATTGCAAAAAAGGGTGTGAAGCAAATTTGCGAAGAAGTAGCGTAGCTGGTTTGTTTAAGATTTGCCCCTGGGCAATTTTCAGTCATGTTAAAACGAGTTTAGAACGAGTCCTTTATAGAGTCTAGGTGAGTATTGGCCTAGTTCCTCCTCTCAAGTAATATTTTTTAATAAATTATGTAGTAGTAATTTGCTTAGCGAAAGGTTGTGCGGCAACAATGAAGGAGACAAAGGAGGCGGCAAGCTAACCAAAGCTCGTTCACTTCTTTAAACTCCCTTCTTCAAGCTCTATAGAAAGTTGAGCTAGATAAAACGAGCGCGGCGTTGGAAAACGAGATAGGGGGCTGCGACCGAGCGCGGGGTTGGAAAACGAGTCAGGAACACCCGTCCATTATGCCATGTAGCAAATAAAATATGTTGCTCAATTAATTTCTTAAATGATGGTAGGGATTATTGGATTGTTTATTATATTTTTGTATTATATATGTATTTAATATTGTATTAAAATATTATGTTAATGATTTGTTCGATTATGTTTTTAGAATAATTTAATAAAAAATAGATTTTGTTATATTTTGTTAAAGAAATATATTGATGAATTTTGTGAAAATAAAAATTTGTTTATATGTTTTTTTAAATATATATTTTGTTGAATATTTAGAATTTATTATTTTTGAGGTATTTAGTTTTAATTGATAATATAGGAAACTAATATGGGGATTTATGAGATTTTGATAAATGTAATTGATATTTTAATGAATATATTTTTTTTCTTATTGAATTAATTATTTGTATAGGTTAAACAATTATATTGGTTTTGATTTGTTATTTGTTTGAAGAATATTTATTGTTTGATGTGTTTTTGGTGTTTAACGAAAAATGAAGATATAATTAATAATCTTTTGAATAGATAGAATAATTTTTGGAATAGATAGATATTAGATATTTATATATATTAAGTGATTCGAAATAATATTTTATATTTGAAATCTATAGGTATATATATATTTGTATTATAGATTATATTAAAATATATAAATATAATTGATGAATGATATAATAGTATTTTGATATTTTAAAAATTGTTGGATTATGATCTGGTGTTAATCTTTGTATTATTTATTTATATATATGATTTGAGAAATATATATCGATTATTATAATATATTTATAACAAAAAATAAATTAATAATATAATAAAATAATGAATAAATATAGATTATATAGATTTATTAGTATATAAAATTTATTTATTATATTAATTAATTTGATTAATTTTTGATTTTAATAGATTTATATATTGGTTTATATTAATAATTGATTAAATTAATTTATTTTAATAAATATATTTAATATAGTTTATTAATTACATATTATAAATATAGAAGAAATATATTGAATAATAAAGTTATTATAAAATTAATAATAATTTATATAGTTAATGAATATTTTGCATAAGCCGATATAATCTCTAGATTTGTGGTGTTAATATTGTATCGTTATTCCGACCGAATGGTTATAATCGATTTGATGTTTTTCCACCATACAAGATCTAATTAATTCTCCACGATAAAGATCTTACCTCTTAGCATGAACCGGAGATCCTTCCAAATCCCCGAAATTTTAGAAATTTCGGAAGATTCTTATTTAATATATTCCTAATAAATTGTGATCGTTTCTAACGACCAAAATTTCTAAAAATCTAAATAATATCATATATATTTTTAATTAATTTTCCGAAAAAAAAATAAATATCCATTTGTTTTTAGTTTAATAATATAATATAATTTCCGAATTTATTTATGCATTATTTTTTAATATCATTATATATCATAATTCATTTTAATTTCTTTATCTCAATTTCTAATTTAACTAGAAAACATATATTTAATATATAATATTTTTATATCAATAAATATATTATTTATTATTTGTTAACAATATTTAATAAATATAATATATTAGTGGGGGCCCGCTGCTTTCTAGTAGACGGCGAGATAAAGCCCATAACAAAGAACATGAAATAAAGAAATGTCAATAAGCAATTATAAACAAATATATACGATTATATTCATAGAAAAAGAAATAAGTAAATAGACGAAACAAGTGCCTAATGAAAAATTGTTTCGGAATATTTCGAGAAAATGGTGGTAGATAATTATGATTTCCCAAAATATTTAAATTATTTCGGAAAATTATGTTTTATAAAATATAAAGCTATTATATGTTCCGAAGTATGCCCGGGGTAGTCCGGACAGATTTGGGTAAGCGATGCGTAGGAAATATGAGGCGGTTGTATTTTCTAGGGGCAGTCCGAAATATTCGGGAATTCTCTGAAATTAGTCCGGGAAAATGTGCGCAAATATGATAATCGAATGTCATGATTTCATTTTATAGAGTAAATAAACAAAGGTTTGAATTACCTGGTTCAAATCTATAAGCCAACCTTAATCTTGAATATAGCAAATTGCTCCTAGCATTTACCAAGGAAATAATCAAAGAATCTCTTAAAGCCAGCAAAGAACTCAGGAAAGAAGGAACTATTTGCCATATGTGAAACGTACATTATAAACCATATCATCTCAATCTCGTGAGCTGCCCGATACTACTTTCATCTTCGTCTAAGACGAGGCAATGACGGAGACCGCGCAAATACCAAGTATAACATGGAACCACAAAAATGGTTCTTCCAAAAACAGCTTAAAATCTTCCAAAGGGTTTATTTCACAATTTTTAAGCATGGAGACCAATTGAAATAGAGTGTTTACATATCTTAGCATGAATATATTGCCCTCGCACGCAGAAACAGAATCACAGCCTGCATCTCTCTATTATTAGGACAAAATAATTATAAAATATTTTATATCTTTAAAAAACATAATAACAATCGAGTAAGTAACACAAACTAATCTTTTGTAATTTATAAAGAGGTACGCTGCCAAATTCCATAGTCCGTCCAGGTGGCGGACTAATATCATTTCTGGGCGGACTAATATCATCTCTGGGCACAAACATTTAAACAGGTTTGCGGCTCGTAAATCGATAAATCCATAATAGCAAGAACTAATAGCTATAAACCATATCCAAAAAATATTGCCCTCATTTTTCGTATTAAAAACATCCTAGCTATCTCAAAAAACAGAGACAAATGGCTCACCCGGATAACAATTTCATAACTTAAGCCTCGAACAAATAAACCTCGTGGACGTGCTTAAGCCACTAAGTGAGCGAGGCCTACGTTGGTGGAATCATTATATAGCTCGTAGCTATAACCAATATACATTTGAGATTGCAAAAGATTCCTAAAATAAGAATTAGTTTATCTATTTTCTTAGATAAGCGCCTACAATTTTGCCTAAAGCTCCGCCGGCGCTTTCCATACCTGATACGGATTTGTGAAAAGGCTCGACTAGCGGTCAAACAATTTGGACAAATTAATGGAACATCGTACGAGCCGATTAAGCTCCAAGCCGTGGTGGGTGTGTCAAAAGCAGAATAAATCTTATAGAGCCCGTGTCGGCAAGACATTGGCACCATTTTTTATGTTATTTTTTGTTATATTATATATATCAAAATATGTATATTCTTCGTACATGAAAAACATGCCGTTCTCCAATCACAGATCGCGAGATACGCTAAGGGCCGGGCTAGTCGTTCTCAGATATATTTAGAAAACGAGGCTTACGTCGTTAAGATCGGCCTAATAAAATCACACCAAAGACCAACCACGGACACAAAAACATAGTACACATTCATCGGCAAATGCATGGCACGATCGCCCAATTAATGGTTTGGATTGGTTTTAGATTGGTTTTGGAAATATAGGGGGTGGTTGCCCATTTATTTACAATATAATCTAAGGGTTCAATCCCCAAATCGCCAATCCAATTCAACAATTAGGGTATATTGAGGCGGCTGCCAAAAAAAGGAAAACAATTACAAAAAAACAATCTATTATATTCAAACCAATTAAACATAACCCACAAACCGAAATTACGAACGCTCTTACGAAACTTCATGCACTCTTCCCAAAGCATCGACTCTCAGGGGCTAAGGCCTAGGCCGTGATGGGTGTGTCAAGAACAGATCAAATCTTGTAGAGTCCGTGTCGGCGAGACATTTTTTTTTTTTTCAAATCAGACACCATTATTTTTTATATTATATTTTCTTTTTTTCCATATCATATATGTCAAACATATATATATATATTCTTCATATGCGAAAAACATGCCGTTCTCCAAATACAAGTCGCGAGACGCATTGAGGGGTCGGGTTGGTCAGTGAAAAGCTAAGCAAAGTGAGAATGTTTCCGTAGGCTAATGGCCTCAAAAAATCCATCCACATATATGCATATAATCGACCAGAAAACGTCCTAGACACAAGCAAAGCCAAAATTCTCAGAAAACGAACACAAAATTTTAGCCAACATATCTAGAAAATACAATGATTTCGCTCAAAACCCGGACCATTGTTCCCCAAATTATTCCGGATATTATAATAGCAAACCTAAATATTTGGTTTAAAAAACAAAAAAAAAAACACTCCCAAAATATTGGGGCAAACAAAAATGAATATCTTAAAATATCTAATATATTTTGGAAAATTAATACCTATAATAAATAATATTTTTATATTTTTCGAATTATGGCCGAGATAAATACCATAACTTAGTTTTATAAAATAAACATAATTAATTAAAATAAATTATATATATAACATATCTAAATTATTTTATATGTCCTTTATTTATAATTATTTATAATTTTTATAAAATCATAATATATAAAAAAATTATATACAAATATATCATTCCTAAAATTTAACGAATAAACAAAATAAATAAAATAAATTAACCAATTGTAAAAAATGCATTCCAAACAAACGCCAAACAATAACAAATATATATCGATTAGATTTCTAAATTTCCAATTTGTAAAAATCCCCCCCGATATCTAAATTTCTAATTATTATGTTCCGATTTCTGCCGTAATTTTCCGGCCATAATCTTCCAATTTCCGCCCACAATCTTTCGATTTGTTTCTTCCCATAATTTTCTGTAATCTTCCGGCTTCTTCCCATAATCTTCCGGCTTCTTCCCATAATCTTCCATAATCTTTCATAATCTTCCAACCAATGCGAATTAACAAAATTTCGCCATAAAATAAACAAACACAAACAAACACAAAGAGACACAGACAAACACACAATGGGTACGCCTAAAACAAACGCAAATATATAGGGAGATGCTACCCAAAACCCGTTTTTCGTCTATCGTCGTATCCGCGAAGACCCCCTTACATTCTATCTGTGACTCTTTTGTATCTATCTGTGTCTATCTATGTCTCCGCGTCTATCTATGTCTCCGCGTCTATCTTCGTGGCCGCCAAGACCTTCCCCCCCCGTATGTGTCTGCCGCCAAGACCCTCCCCCCCTCTATGTGTCTATCTGTGTCTGTCTAATTCTGTCTGTGTCTGTCTACGGCATCTGCGTCTGTCTTCGTGAAGACCCTCCCCCCTACGTGTCTATCTACGTCTCTTTTGTGTCTGTCTGTGTATCTGCGTCTATCTTCGTGTCCGCGAACGGGCCCGGGCCGAAATTCTAAGGTGTATAAGGGCGACGGAACCAGGCCGCAGACCATTCAATATTCAAAAGCCTAATTTCTAAATAACCTTTTCGAATAACACAAACATATTATATATATGTATAAACAGATTCACTTTCTTAATAGCCTTTTCAGAAGATACAAATGCCTTAGAAGCTCATTGCTTAACGACCTTTTCGAAAGCACCCAAATACAACAATAATAACCAGCAAGATAGAGGGCTAGCTCGATAAAACCATAAAGGATGTTCCACTAACCCCATATCGCTGCTTTTTTTCCTCTTGCATTATCTCAAGCCCAAAGACCAGCCGGACGGAGATGGGTGATAGTGCGGGGAGATGACCCACTCCTTAGCTCCTGACTGTTCCGCTACAATCTGTCTCTAGGAGTTAATCTGAAAGAGAATTAGACCAGAATGAAGCTGTGGACATGAAGAGGCGGGATGTGTCTAAGATCCTTTTATAAACATGAAACTCCAAGCCCATCGCGTTTACAGGAAGGTTCTTTTGGGAGCCCCTTGCGGGACTCGATGTCAGGGAAGTACAGTGGTTTTTGGAAAAGATGCAAACCGGAAGAAAGCCTTGCGCTTCCGCCGTGTTAGTTGCACTTTAGCCACTTGGGGAATCCACAATCCCACTTGGTGTCACTTTCAAGTTTGGAACGGCACATTTGTCCTGTACCCCTGGCACAAGTACCCAACGAAATGGGAAGCAACACCATGCTAGCAATCAATTATAGATGATACATGGCACCTGAATACACGGCAAACAAGGAGAAACCTTCAACTCGATAAATCCCATAAGCAAACGTACCGACACGAAGGCATCAGCTCTTTTTGTTCGCCTGGCAATTCCTTTCACGTACCGCAACCGTGCTGTGTCAATCACAGCCTATGCTGTATCCTTCTCAGTGTACTTGCCCTTCTTGACTGCACGGTTCTTGCGATCCAGCAGCGCCTTCCTGTCCTTGTCCAGCTTGAGCTTGGTAATCATGACCTTGGACGGGTGGATGGGGATGGGTACGGTCTGCCCGTTGGTCTTGTCCCGCGTGACGCGCTCCACATGGATGCAGAACTTCTTGCGGTACACCTGAGTGACCTTTCCCTCACGGTCATGGTAGTGTCCCCTGACGATGATCACCTCGTCGTCGCGGCGGATCGGCACTGCCCGCACGTTGTACTTGTTGCGGAGCTCCTGGCGCGGTACGTTGGCAACAAGCCTACAAAAGATAGTTCATCATCTCTTCCAGGTGAAGGGGGGCATTCTACGTGTGATTCTACTAAGCAACCAGCCAGTGTGTCCTGAAAACTGGCTCTAGTTTTGTTGCTTTCCTGCACCCATGTCCTTGCTCAGGGGAGAGCTCATGATCTTGCGGCGAAGGTGGGAAGGCGCGGTGAAGTGCGCCTTGCGGTTCTTGCGCCGGGAGGAGGACACGCTCGCCTTCCACTTCATGGCTCTGTACGACTGGATGGAGGATTCTGAGCCAGACTGTCTCTTGCCCTCGTGGGCACGGCCGAATTCACAACTCGACCATCGCACCAGTCTCTCTCTCTCTCTCTCTCTCTCTCGGCTTGCGTCTCTCCTGTCAAAAGAAGGAAAATAAGTTACGATTATCGTCATGATGTTCAACTTGACCCTGGCAACATGAGTCTACTGAACTACTACAGTGACTGGTCAAACCGGGTTGAGGCAAAAAGGCTTGTTTAAAACATGTTGTGGCTGCAGCGATGCTCACAAGGTAAGAACTCCACACATGCCTTCATTTTGCCGTCGTGAGCTTGATCACATGCCAAACACAGCCCTTCTCAGGCAGTAGTGTCCTTCTCAGTGTACTTGCCCTTCTTGACTGCACGGTTCTTGCGATCCAGCAGCGCCTTCCTGTCCTTGTCCAGCTTGAGCTTGGTAATCATGACCTTGGACGGGTGGATGGGGATTGGTACGGTCTGCCCGTTGGTCTTGTCCCGCGTGACGCGCTCCACATGGATGCAGAACTTCTTGCGGTACACCTGAGTGACCTTTCCCTCACGGTCATGGTAGTGTCCCCTGACGATGATCACCTCGTCGTCGCGGCGGATCGGCACTGCCCGCACGTTGTACTTGTTGCGGAGCTCCTGGCGCGGTACGTTGGCACAAGCCTACAAAAGATAGTTCATCATCTCTTCCAGGTGACAGGGGGGGATTCTACGTGTGAATTTTACTAGGCAACAAGCCAATGTAAACAAGCCAATGTATCCTGAAAACTGGCTCTAGTTTTGTTGCTTTCCTGCACCCATGTCCTTGCTCAGGGGAGAGCTCATGATCTTGCGGCGAAGGTGGGAAGGCGCGGTGAAGTGCGCCTTGCGGTTCTTGCGCCGGGAAGAGGACACGCTCGCCTTCCACTTCATGGCTGCAGCGGTTTGGCGTCTTGTGAGCTCACAACTTGACCTTCAATGGCCGCAATGACACAGCTGGAGCAGGAGCTCAACACAAGCTGCCATTTCAGACATCATGGAATTTGTCTTTTCATCTCTTCAAACAACTCTAAAACAGACCTAACTGGATCACAATGCGCTCCAGGCTTCTCTTTTGTTGGCGAAAGCTGTTTGATCTGCAGGCAAAAAGATCCCTGACTCATTGGGCAGCTGGTACAACTTCATCGATCTACGGTCTTCTGACTGGCCTCTGCCTACCTGCGTGCTCGACACGACTGCAATGCGCTCGACGAATGCTCAGGATTTTGCCCATCGCTTCGCTATGTTGCCGAACACTCAAACGAATTTCGCCAGTGACCCTGGTATATGGGCTTGACCATCTATCTATAGTCGGGAACCCATCGAGCAGAGGGTGCCACAAACATCGGGAAAACAGGAAATCCCTTTGTGGGATTACCCAATTTATAGTGAGGAGCCCAGCAAGCAACAAAAGGAATATGATACCACTGAACAACTGGGTCGGTATTCCAGGCTTGGATGCGCTGCAGTCTTTTATGCCCGCTGAACTTTTAGTGCAACCCGAAGAGGAAACTGCAAAACTGGACATCTCTTCAATACACAGAAACACCTGCCAGAAGCATGTGGAACCCAAACATCGTGTGGCCCCTCCCTCCCTCCCTATTCCCAAAAGCTCCAGTCATAGTATTGAGGACAATTCTTGTTGAGAACTTCGTCTGGGGCAGGGCCAGGACATTCAACAAAACACAACAGAGTGGTTGCTGAAGAATGTCTGGTGCCTTGCCCTTACACCCTCCTTTGTGGGACTGTTTTGGGCCACCGCTTTAATTCAATCCACTTGTAAATAGGTTTACTGTTTTATTGTCAGGCCTGGCTTTGAACGCCTAAATGCCACCCCACAAGTGGACAGTGCTAGCTAACCCCCCCCCCCCCCCCCCGGGGAATGGACAACACTCGACTAGTCCAAAAGCCCACCAGTGATAGACATCATGTCTTGCAAACCCTCGGGGAATGACAGCCAATCCGGGCAGGTCGGTTCAAACGGATTTGAGTTGCAAAAGGCACAGGCGTTCGAGGGCTCTTCCTGGCCGCTCTCTAGTTACTCTGCTGCGAGCAGGTGAAACAGGTGCACAGGGCCAGGGGTTGAGGTCCCTTTTCTGCTGTTAGCTCCTTACAGAAGAGATAACGGTCGACAAAACAAGACAAAGAAGCCATGCATCCTTCATCCTCATCTTATAATGATTTCATGGTTTTCCCCTTTCATATTGTAAGTCGTCTTTTGAGAAGTTCCATTTGGATGGCCTGTGTTTGGCTAAGTTCAGAGGGTGGACAAAGCAAGAACGGGATCGAGCCAATGGATGAAGGAATAGCCTGGAATTTTAGAAGATAAAAGGCATGCAAGAAAGAGCAGGACGAGATTGAATGGTAAATCATCTCATGTTCATACGCATAGTTCCCTTCATACATACTTTCAGCATATTTACAACACTACATGCGAGATATAGAATCTACTATTAAGAGATAGCATGCATGGAGAACAGATGGACGAGACGGCAGATTGATAGGCTTTATGACAAATCCCATTAACACATCTCAACACAAAGATAAAAGCAGAAACATTTATAACATGGTTAGACGATAAATTGCTAAACACGACTCAAACATATTTCTGGATTATTGATATATTTGTGTAACACATATTTACGATATCTTCCGTCATCAATTTCTTGTCACTTGTCCGAAAGCTTTCTCTCGAGCTTCTCAACCAGTCCAAGCTAAGGGCACGGGGACCTTTGGCACTTGACACCGTGCTGCCAATGTCTGAATTGACCGGCTAGATTTTTCGGTGTCTTACCCCAAGCTTGCCAGATCGAGGGTGCATGCCTTTGCAAGCCTTATGACCTCATGGCGCTTTGTCGACCGGTCCTGTGCAAACCGCTGATGAACGAGCATCAGGCCTCCAGCCATTTCAGCCGCTGCCCTTCATTCCACAAGCCTTTCCGCTGCCTCAGCCCGAGAAAACAAAAACGCACGGACAACATGGGAGCAACGATCTGACATGGGGAAAGGGGGGGGCCTAAGAAACTCCAAAAGGAAGGCATGACGTTGACCCAACCTACGCAATACATGTAGTAATGCAACACACACACACACAATACATATATATATATATACAGGTGTGTCGGCTTCTCGCTTTGAAAGAGGAACAGCTCTGCTGGTCGGCCCAGTGCCCGCTTCCGTCTGTAAAGAAGTTTCCCCAGAAAACATCGCCCCTACAAAGGAGCCCAGAAAGTGATGCTTGAAACAACCAGGAAAGGACACAATAGGGGGACGCCGAACTGCGAGCTGCGAGTCCTCTGGTGATAGGTTTTGAGTGAACTGGCGGCCATGTTCTTTTGCGCTGTATCGCGGCGCGTAGATGTGGCCAAATGTTGGCAAAATCCCCTTCCAGGTCCCAGTGTCCAAAACCCAAACATAGATGGGGCAGTCAGCTCTACATCTTGCGTAAATCACCATCCCTTACTCCAGATTTTCCTTCGCTTCTGTACCTTTCCCGCGGAATGTCCACCCCTTTTGCGGTGTAAGCTTGCTTTTGGAGACATTTGGGGACCTCTCCAAATCGTTCACAGTGGCCACCAACCATTGTCAAGGCTTTTCCACGAAAACGAGCCACATTTGCGTATCGCCCTTTTTGCAGGTACCGGGCGTGGTTTCGCTTCGGACACCAAATTGAAGCCGATGAATTTCCATTTTCCGGGCTCCCCAAACGTGAGCTGAGCAGTCTGTCCGTTGAGTCAGCCAGTCCGACAGCTTTCTTCCCACGGGACCTTGGGGCCCGCGGCACGCGCTCGTTTGACCCCAAGCTCGCTGTTAAGAAACAGGGAAATGCATGTCTGTCCCAGGCGTCCCTTTGCGAGAAAGTAATTCCATGATTGAAAAGACAACGTCCATCTAGCTTCAGCGGAACTCACCCACAAAGGACACCTCTGGATGCCCAAACCCCTCCCTGGTGACTTCTCGACAAGGTGCCTTCCCTTCTGGTCCACAAAGGTGCCGACGCCGTGCTGGCGCCCCTGCTCCCACTGCCCGGAGTACGACCTCTACTCGTCGCACGGGACCCAACCCTCCCCCCCCAACCCCCGCCCCGCAAAAACATGGCCCTTTGGGATAGGCCCAAACCTCAATGAACTTGACTCCCGACCGCTTTCTCCGACCTTGCTTGGCTCCTAGAGCCCCCCCTCCCACAGACCCAACAAAGAGCCTGGCTAGACTTTCACACCCAAATGGGCAGAATGCAAATGGGTATGTCGGTTCTGAGTCTTGAGGGTTCCCTTCTTCGGGGCAACTGAAAAGGAAACCAAGGGACAAAGCCAATTTTCGGATTTCCTTGGAGACACACCCAGTCGCAAAACTTGAGGAGTCAACACCTGGCCGCTCAAATACTAGCTCTTGAAGCACGTCTAACCAAGTACCACCAAGGGTTTGACCTCTCCGCTCAGCTGCACTAGGAGAAGGGCTTAACCCTCGAGACAGGCATGTGGCTATGATTCCCAGGGATTCCTACGCCTGACATCAGGAATCCCCTAAGGAAGATTCAGGGGTCGCAAACTCCCCGTAAGTTGATATCCTCCACAAGGTCGACCAACAAAATGCCCCAAGTTGGTACTAGACTACTGTACTAGAACCTCCAGAGAGGTCTTCTAGGGTAATACCCCTCCATTTGGGTGGGTTTGTCTGGGAGATAGAACCCCTGATGGGTGGTGTCCTTTGGACTTTCCTTAACTCCCGTTGCTGCTTTGTTTGCCTCAAAGAATCAGAACCACTGCGTTCGCAACGCATTGACTTTTCCGTGCCAGGACTAACAGGTTTGGACCATTGAGCAATCAGCCAAGTAAACATTCTTTGAAGAACTCATGCAAACAACCTACCCAGAGCAGGACCTCCTATGGTTGTCAGGGGTTATAAACAGGAACATAGATGAACAGCCCTTCCCATGTGGTAGGGCTGTCAAAAAGCACGGACTGGCTTCACTTGTCGCATTCCGAATAATAAATTCAGTGGCGAGGCCACAAAGTGATTACATCAGCGCCCAGTTTCAGATAGCTGGTTCCACACACCATCAGTTGCCGGTAGTTCTGTCTGTGTAGGTTCACAATCGCATCCACTAAGCAAGCCAATCCTGATCCAAACGGTATCTTACCATAAATTGCACATGGTTGTCGGGGCCAAGAACTCGGTCTGCCAACGTAGTATCTGAGTGCGGCATTGTGATCATTAATCTGACCAGCTCTGTACTCTCTGGAAAAAGCTTCGCTCGCCCATGCACCCTGCCAGGTCTTCTAAGCTCATTCATCTGCTCAGTCAGCTCTGGGGCTTCCCAAGGATCTCGTCAGGCGGCTGGGCAAACAGCTCCACTGGGCGTTTTTAAACTTGCCTGAACTTGGGGTCGCTTGTGCGAGCTGAGATAATTGAGTGCGAAACAAGGAGCCGTCTCAGAAGTGGTTCTGACAAATTATTTACGTACTCGGCGTCAACTAGAGAGGGTCTGAGCACCATGCACAATATAATTTCCCCTTTTTGTTTGTTGGGAACACCGAACAAAGCACAACGGTTATTTGGGAAGCTCCGTGGGGGGCTCCCGGTGTCCGTGCGCAGCACCTGTCTCCCCCGCGACCTGCCTGCCATCCGGCCAGGTGAAAATGCCCTCACCCGACTTGCGGTCCTCCGGAGATCCACGAGGGTTCCAGGCTTTGGGGAGGAATAGGAGGCATTGCTTCGTTGTCGTTTGTTGCTCGGTACCCTTGGGTTGGTCCAAAAGGAAAACCGAAGCCAATTTCGCGGGGCCCCCTATTTTAAGACATACCCATTTCCCGGCAGTTGAGTTGAGTTTTAAGTACAAAGAAAGCTCCTCCCCACAAGAAGAGGTCCGGAGTCTCGCAAAATTAAATTGCCTGCTAAAGAAAGGGTCTGGACAAATCAATAAATGATCATTCTGTCCCTAACTTGCAAGCCACCAAAGGGTTCTGTAGAGGAAAATCGTCTTGGAGGACCGCAACCCCCGGACCGTATTTCTTGGAACAAAACAAACTGCAAATATGGTTTGAACACCACGGTTTCAAATTTAGACCAAGCAATGCCCCTGCATTTTGCATCTTCTGGGTGATTTAGCACCTAGTGAAGCGCTCGAACATTCTGACCAAACTGACAACAACTTTGGATTGATCCGCAGGACCATACTGCTCAGCAAAAATCACCGAAATTGATCATTGTCAGTTTAAAGCGGACCACCCTCTACATAAGGTCCTCCGAATTAATCCCAAGTTGACACTATTTCTGGTAGCGCATCGACAAAACAATTGTCGCATGAGACAGCTCTGTCCGCACCCACAAACATCTTCGTCTTAACCAGGAGGAGGAGATTGGTGAAAGGTGCCAAGCAAAGTCTGTTGATCAAATTGGAAATGCGGGCCATTTGAGCCACGATTTAACCTTGGCGTCAAGGGCTTATCCAACACATCCTGAAGCTGATGCAATGCCAAGTATCACAATCCGCGCCAGTCATGGAACAGGGACCGTACCTTCATCTACCGATTTGAGGTTGTCTCCAAATGGAGGAGCCGCCAAAGGCCATGCCCCTTTGCGTTTAAGACAAACAGGGTTCCCTCAAAAACAGCCACGCAAACAAACAAACAAGCAACAAACAAACAAGCACACACACACACAGAACGCAAAACAAGCCACAACAAACAAAACACACATAACACGCAAACTAAGCTAAACACGTCAACCACAAAAGACAAAACCACCAAACACAAACATAAACACAAACGAACACACAAACACACAAACACAAATTGAGAAACACACAACCACACAATCAACACAAACACATGCAACACACTGCAAGTCAAGCACCAAACAAACAAACAAACAAACGAGCATGCAAGCAAGCAAGGGAGCAGGCAAGCAAGCGAGAGCAAGCACGTCAACAAACACACAACACACACCACGCACACACACACACACACACCAAACCAAACCAAACCAACCAACCCCAAAGCAAAACGCCAAACACACCAACCCATACACAATCATATGCGCACACACACACACACCTTGATTCGCACCCGTTGCCGCTCTTCCCCCTTATCCTCGATGAAGCCGCCTTTGAAAAACCGGCCATCCGGCCAGGTCATCGACCCAGCACCATGCATCTGGCGCACGGAGTCCAATGGTCGGGATGTGTCAATGGGGACTTGGACCAGGCTGCAGGTGGTTGTGGTCTTTGGGTTTGAGGGGAAAGCAAATGAGAGCTGTACCCAAACAAAACCTCGATGTACGGAGTGTCTGTCGGGTCTATAGGTCTATGGCAAGCAGTCATGGCAAAGCTTATGTCAAACTGGACCTTTGCTCGGCTTGACGTCAATTGGAGCCAAAGTTGCGTTCGCCATCGACGGAGGCACCTACTTCTGGAGAACTGACACCTTTCCTGCTGTTATGAGTGCCTTTCTTCCAAAACCAAATCGCCGCATTGCGAGGTCGCACGTGGCCAATAGCTCTTCCTGTGATAACGACGGCAAGTCCATGACTTGCTTCAAGGGGATTCCCCACAGAAAGTGACCAATTCAAACCCCTTCTCAAAAACAAAATGTGTTGTTTTCCCCCAAATCTCAACCAGTCAAAAAGATCGGAACCTCCTGGAACTGAAGGCGCCTGACTGCTCCGCCAATGGCCCGTGTAGACTCTGCCGTCCGCGAAGTGGTAGGTACCCTCACCTGCCGTCCGATTCGACGAAGCTCGTCAAAAAGGTCATGTGTGCTCGTTCTTGTTTCCTTGGGGCAGGATTTCGTCCATCCACATTGGAGGGTGAGCCCATCTCGCCCGTGCCTTCCATGACGTCGTTGCAGAACTGCCCCGAGTAGCTTGAGCTGTCGGCCGCCTGGAAGTACCCAGCGCCTCGAGCCAGGTTCTGAGGGAATCCGGAAGGAGATTGGGAATGGGGTGTGGCAACAGGGGGCCCCAAAATCGCGGTTGCTTGTTTCGGCTTCCTCTGTTAAAACCACTCGGAAAAAGAAAACGCAAACCCCAGAAGAACACTCGCACACACCCACATGAACCTGGGGATTCCTTCAAGGAATATTTCGCTGCTTATTTGGTCAGTGTTCAACCCTCAACTTGGGATTTCAAACTGTGCTGCCTGCATCATTTGAGGAAGGGCCACAAATGCAACATGTCTCCAAACATAGGCTTTACCAACCCTTAACAAAGATTGATGCGACCCCTCCGTGAAAGGAACAATGCGAGCAGTATCGGGCCCGAGTCATCTCTGCCCTCATCATTCTGTTGAAGGGCTCTCTGCTTGAGATGTCACCAACCACTCACCCAGCCTACAAGGGCGACTCATTCCCAATCCATGGGTCCTGTGCGGAGCTCCAGCGCTGAGCGCGACGCCACACTTCACCCCGTCTCGGTACTCACCTTTGAAGTGAGACCTCAGCAAGGGGCTGAAAAACGGAGCCTGAACAAACGGTAAACAAAGCACACGCACACACCAGCCGGAAACCAACCCGAAAAACCAACCCTAAGGACCCGAACCTGCTATAAGCGACTCGTTCACACGAGTTTCAAATTGACAATTGCAGGCTTGCTGCTACCTGACCTTGGCCATGCCGGGAAATCGGTCCATAGGCTTTTAAGCCTGTCAGTTTAGGCGTTTGCTGTTTGATTTTTACGGGCCTTACTGCTTGTACTCACTTGCGGTTTTGCTGACCTTTTGTTTGAGCTTCTGACCTTCCGCTAATTTGGTTCAAACTCCTCAAAGCGTCACCGCCACATAGGCGCTACGAGAACTCATCACAAGGGTGCATCCTTTTTCAGTGATTCGTGAGTGTCAAACTGGGAGAGAGAGCCCAACCTCCTGTTGGGTACAAGTCTAGTACGCGAAGTACACTGCCGCAGCTCCGGCTCGAAAATCGCAACTTGAGGGTTATCTGTTTTGGGGGGTCCTTATCATTCTACAGGGTTTTGTGCAGTTCGCGCATGCAATTCAACCCCTCTTGATAATTTGGTCTTCGTAGGTTTGTGGCTCAAAATTAAACAGGAGGGGTTGCGCAGGCTTTGGTCCATGTTTCCACTTAATTACCAGGGTTCCATTTTGGTACCGGCTTTTTGAGCCACAGCCAGATGTTTGTTCTTTGGCGCAAGCGATAGGAACTCGTTTGCTAGAACCCGCTTAGGGCTCCCCGAAGAATCTGCCAAGCAAGGGGAGACCGATTCAGCAATACAAGAACAAACCATCGAGCAAGCAAATTGTGTTCCTCCTTGATACCCTCCTTAAGCCGCTTTCCAGAACCTTCAAAAACTGTCAATTGCGGTGTCACTGTGCCCTTTCACATTTACGTGCTGGGTTCATGAGTGGGCTGGGTTTCCAATTGGCATCCGGAAACAACTAGCAACTGATCCATTCCCGTCTGGGCTCCTGCAAGGAACACTTGTCGCCCCAATCGCATTCAACATCCCATTAGGACATGCGGCTCACTAGGCGCCCGGCCCATCTTGCCAGGTCTCAAAGCCTCTGCCAGACTTCACGTCCTGGGAACTGGTTAGACTTCTGGGCGTGCGAGTCACCACCTTGTGGTGATGTTTAACACCACCGCAAGAGAAATAGCGGAAAACCTGCCACCCTGGGCATCCTTTTCGGCAAGACACGCTGACATCAGCAGAATCCGTCGATCTTTTAAGCCACAGAGGTTCACTCTGATGGAAAATAAATAAGCCAAGCCCTGCAAGATCAGTAGAATCATTGATGTGGATAAGTTATGAGGATAGAAGCTGTAAATGGCTCTGGGAATCATCATCCGGTCAGGATTCTCTAAAAATCATTGATTCTTCGTTGTGGTCTGTCTCTCATGGCATCCTGACATGAATGCGGCTTGAGAAGTGATCCAAATGAGACTACGAAACCAACAGTACTAACTAGATTCATCAATTGGCTCCATCCTATCACTCCCCAATGATAAATCAGTTACTCTCATACGGCATATTTACAATCATTTCCTTCTCCTTTGATAATATCTTTTCTTGGCATCTTGCTTTTTGAGAAGGGCCTTCACGCGAATCAAAAGAGAGGACCAGCTTGTTACATGTCCATTGAGAGCCCACTCGCACCCCTGATACTCATGCGTGGTCGTTTTGTAGTCTGGAATGCCTGCGCTTGCTATGGCTCTGAACCACCGCTATGATTTTTGGATTGCGCAATGCTTGAAACAGACCCCTTCTAAATGGGCCCATTTTGGGTGGCGCACACCTCTCAGCACATCCGGTTTATCAGGCTGTTTTGCGCGGTTTTGTTTCTGCCTGAAACCACACCCGGTACCGCGTCCCCCGTTAAGGGCTCTTTGACAATCAACATACCCAGGCTGGTGTTCGAACATCTGCAAAAAGTCACAAAACACTGCCGTCTTCCAAAGGCTTTGGTGAAACGTTGAACCAAGGCGCAACCCAACGACCCTGCTTCCCACTAGCATTGGCATGTGCGCCTGTCAGCCCTGCAGCCTGAGCCGCCCGGCCATGTCCCATTCGCCCTCGTAGGAGGAGCCGTCTGCATGGAGGAACTTTCCGTGGCCATGTGCCTGGCGCCGAGATGGACGAGGTGCCCCGATTGGGAACATGTGGGTTTACAATTCCCCCTCGATGTATTATGCCCACAAGGGGGACATGGATGGGAATGGGTCCGTTCTTGGGTACGCCACTGGGGATCAGTCAACTATGAAGCAAACACGCGAGCAAAGCCAGGGCGACGGACCTAAAACGCTGTGTTTCATGGCCCGCAAAACTTAACGGGACACACCATCCAACACATGAACCTATCCCGAGCCTGAGTTTAGTGTGCACGCTGCCCTAAATCCCAACAGCAACGCCTGTGGCAGCGAATTCACAAGCTGGAATACCTATCACCAACCCCAGCATCAAGCGAAGGCAACTGCACCCAGTCTGCACAGCTTGCAACAGAACGTCCAATGGCAAATCTCTTGTTGTGAAAGCCAACTGAGGAGCACAAGATCAACCATGGCAAAGGATCGATGCGACAAGCGAGGGAGCAAGTCGGAAAATAATGGACAGCCTGCACCGCTATTCTCCGCAGAGTCCCTCTCTGTATGCTCCGGGCGTTTGTGCGACGCCGGTGCACTTATATTCTTCAGGGAAGACACTGAGCGCTTGCATGACAACACCTAATAGTCCAAAGGCTCCTGCTTTTTGCTTTGCCGCAGGGTTTTCGTGAGCAGATTGAGTGAGCCGTCCCCCCTCTCAATGGACTTGGAGAGCAGCTTTGCAAAACATCTGAAGCAAAAGTGGGTCCATGGGAATTTCGTGAACAAAGCAATAGCAAGTTCAACACAGCCCTAAGTTCGGCCGAGTCTGGGCAGCACTATTTCGCATCTTCCAAGTGGCAAAGAATGCTGGCTCTGACCTGCCCTGGAACCAGCCCAAACTGAAGACCGAAACAGGCGAGCTCGGAAATGCAAACGTGGTTCCCGCTACCGGCTGCTGCTGTCAACCTCCAAACTAACTTCCCCAAGGCTGAGCACGTTGTGTCACTTCGCTCTGATCCGGTTGAGCGAGTTCGAGGTGATGCAAAACCTGTTCTGGAAACTGGGGCGGAGGAGGGCGGGGGGGGGGGGGCGGGGACGCCTCGAGCGTGTTGGGCTTGTTGATTTGGAGACGCTCAAGCAAGCACGCCCTAACTACGAAAGGCATTTGGAAGGTTCCTCTACAGAACTTTGCACGCGAATGCAAACACGTGTTCTTGGGACCTTCCGTGTGTGTGTGTGTGTGTGGGTGCATGCATGCATGCATGCATGCATGCATGCATGCATGCATGCATGCATGCATGGATGGATGGATGGATGGATGGATGGATGGATGGATGGATGGATGGATGGATGGATGGATGGATGGATGGATGGATG